GGACATTTTGTTCTCTGTTTTCCCCTTAAAATTAGAAAAAGTACAAAAGACTCATTGTGCTTTTTACATCTCTAAATACTCTAAAACATTTTGTGTGAAAATGGAGGGGTTTTTAAAAACATGCAATACATTTTTATGGTTCTAAATTGCATTTAATGGATTTAGATTTAAGAAGCTAAAATTGGTAGGTGTTGAATATAGTACCATTTCCCCAAGAGCCTCTCCTCTCCCCTAATTATCTTTTTCAGGACTGGGGATAGGGAGAGTGGTCCATGACTAAAATATCTTCAACCTTCATCTCTGTGACCTGAGTTAAGCTCCTAGAGTACTTTATTCATGAGACTGGATGGTTTCCTACAACTCTAAAATGTTTCTGCCTCTATGAGAATGATAGTCCAACTCATGCAGGACAAATGGAAGGACTGAGTTGTTTCTTAATTTATCTTAATGCTTTAAAATGCCTAACAGTAAGCACTTTATGTTGTTATGCCTCATAATGGACATCTCCTACCAGTGTATAGTTTTATTTCTATAGGGAAGAGTTTCAGAAGTTACTGAGAAGGTGATTTTAATAAATGGGCTGTGTCAGCCTCGATGTATTTACTCAGATGGCAGACATTTGAGTGACCTCTGTTATATGCCAGGCATTGTGCTGGGTGCTGGATATACAAAGATAACAGAGAACGATCTGTGTTTGTTAGGAAATAGACTGTGTGCATAACATATTAGGATGCTTACTAAGGTTACATAGAAGGCCTCTAGGAACATAGCTGAGAGAGTAAGTAAGTAGTTTTACCTTGGAGGAAATGGGAATCCTGAAAAGACAGTCCACAGGCTGGTGCCATAACTTGAATCTTAAATGATGAAATTTACAATATGGAAAAGATGGGGAAGGGTGAAAGAAACTTAGGGGAAAAACTGATCATTTATTTGGAGCAGATGTAGGGACAAATGAGAATTAATATGTTATTTTTGGTTTTATTAATAAAAAATTATAAATAATACATGAGTTTATGTAGATGAGATTTCTTTTCTAGCATTCTCAGGCCCCCTTTCCCCAGGCACACAGAGGAAAAACAGGAGTCTTTCTAAGACCTATACAATTATTCTTAGGGAAAGACTGTTAAATTCAAGAGATGTCAATTTGCTGTTTTTTTTTTAAGATTTTATTTATTTGACAGAGAGAGACACAGTGAGAGAGGGAACACAAGCAGGGGGAATGGGAGAGGGAGAAGCAGGCTCCCCGCAGAGCAGGGACCCCGATGCGGGGCTCAATCCCAGGACCCCGGGATCATGACCTGAGCCGAAGGCAGACGCTTAACGACTGAGCCACCCAGGC